ATCTGATGCACAACCGAGCACAATGACTAATTCTAAGATTCTAAGATTGTTTATTCACGAAAAGTGAGAGTCATCAAAGGTCACCGACCTGTAATAACAATGACTCCGAGTGTGTAACGAAATATGATCTATTCTTTCACTCTCTTCCAACCATAATTCATCTCTCTCTCTCATTGTGTGAGGTATTCATTCACTCTCGTTTTGTATGTGTTCAATGTCGCTTTCTGTAGTTAATATTAATATCGAACTTCAGACGTTTTGTACCATTATTGTAAGCATGTACTGGTATTTATTCGAAGCTCGTTTTCTCCCTGCTTTGTACCGCGCAAAACGGGATAAGTCAGAATTTTTTCAAGTCTCAGTCAACGAAAAGATTCTTCAAGTCTAACTTGACTTGGAATAGAGGCGGTTTTGTCTTGACTTGCCCAGCTCTGCATGGAAAACGACTCTACTTAGATCTTTAATATCATTTCTCTGTATTAAAAGAATGCACTTTTAAAATGACTTACGGGACAGACAAAATTAGTAGTCGGTCAAAATTAGACAAAATTAGAAGATCGGTAAAACCTTTTCTCAAGTCAAGTCTGACTTGACTTGTCCAGCTCCGGTACCACGTTCATTGAAGCCTAAGAAATTACACCTATCAATTTCGCATAAATAATTCCAATGAAATATTGAATTTTTCTGCATGAATTGTAGAGATTAAATGGAAAAATCTGTTTGTAATATACTTGCCGTTACTGTCGATATACAGTCCGCAAGGGAGAGCTTTACAAAACTACATAAAATCGGCTAGCTAAGAATCATAATTACAAAAGGTCTGATTGAGGAAATCGAGAGGTAGCCGAAATATGATCATCAAGTTTGTTCAAAAGCTTTTTTGCTAGGGTTTAATACGAAACCCGTTGTACGAAACCTTTTTGTCAATAAAAAAATAGAGGTTTCGTAGCTGAACGTCGGAACCCAGGTTCCTACGAAACTTAAAAGGGTATAGAAATGGTTGCAATTCTCTATACCCTTTTAAGTTTCGTAATAAACCATTTTTTTTTAGAGAGTATGGCTGAGTGTAGGTCATTCCCCTTAGCAAATTAATTCATACCACCGCTACTAGAAAATTTTCTTTTAAGAGTCGAAAGGCCAAAAACGAGCAGAGAGGAGGAGAGCAAAAGATTAGCAATACATCTTGCATATGCAAAGAGAAATATCTAACAGAAAGTGGGGACTGGACGCAAATCCCAACCACGGAAAGAAAAAAAGAGACTTAGAGTGAAAAAAATGTCTTAAAAATCGCTGAAAAAACGAAAAGAAATTTTTTTGCCCCTCCTTTGAAACTCTTGAGTACGTCGGTACATGCTTAAGTTGTACTAAACTATTGTATGAGCAATTCATATTGGGCAAAAATGTGATATTTAATCTCACTACTAATAAGCTGTTATCTAAATCATAACCCGAGTAGGTTACCGTCACTTTAATTAACATTATACAACATTTTGAAAAATTATTATTGAAGACCTCAAGAACAACATAATTGGTTATTAACCTCTTGAACAACAGATTGAACAATATTGTTCTCAATTGTCTTTCCAATCCAGTTAACGGTGAATTTATTCACTAGTGAAAATATTCACCGATGCGAATTTTGACGGCTTCCCTAACGAGAGTGAGGTAGATTGAAATTTTGCGAAAACATATTAAGAGATTCAATATACTTCACTCCATCTTTTTCCAAAAAGTGATGGCGCGTGGCGTCGGAGAATATAGAACACCTCTGCAATGTTTATAATGTACCCGACTGATACGTACCTTTCTCGAAGAAAAAGCAACCCCTGTGGTAGTTGTGTTAAAATGCTAAAAAAGACAAACGTATGGATGTAAATGATCGAGTTACTCGCCACTGAATTCTTCTAAAACTTTTACCCCTTGTGACTTTAACAATGGAACGAAGTGATTTGGGTACCACAACGGTAGCCTTCTTGCACGCCAATCATCAATGCTAATAGTGTTTGTCCATAATATAAATATTGTATTCACCGTACAAACAGAAGTTAGACGAATAGGTGAGAATACTTGATTTAAAGTTATTACATCAGTATTAGGCGGTAATTTCGGCGACGCTAAAACTGGCGACGATTCAGTTGAAATGGTAATCGGCACGGAAGGATAAATAGATCTGATATTACAGTTTAATACAGTACAAAGACCGAACAAATCCCATGCCTGAGCCCACGCTTCATCATTGATCATGTTTGTTATCAAATATTGTTTTAAATTAGTATCATAATCTGAATATCTTCGTAAATAATCGTCAACATGAACAGCCATTTCAATAATATTACGAACACGAAGTTCAACCACAAAATGATTCGGTAATGATGCTAATAAAGCAATTGAATTATAGAGACAATTACCATCGCCTTTAACATACGGTATTGAGACATGGCCAATGTCGATAGCTAAATTGAAACCAGATATACGCCTTATTCAGAAATGTAGAAACTCCTTCTCCCCGTCTTTCTAATTAGCCTTCGAAGATTGTTGAAAGGAGACAAAAATTGCCAGCACTTTCCGACGTATTTCTTAAGGATTATGTGGTGCCGTTTTCAGGTAGAAGATATCAGACTCCCAACTTTGCGACGCAGATATGGGCGAGTCCGAGTCCGGACTCCAGCGAATTCTGACTAGACTCGAATACAGTCAAGAAAAAATTGCGGACTCGGACTCCAGAACTTGAAAGCTTTTTTGGAAATTGGTAAAATAACCGGACTCGCCCACACTCTAAAAAAAAAGCGTCATTTACTAAACCTTAAAGGGTTTAGTAAGCGAACTAAACCCCTTAAAAAACCCTTAAAGGTTTTTTCGAAAGATTTATCATCGATCTTAAACCTTCAAAGGTTTTTTAACAAGGTTTAGTACGCTTACTAAACCCTTAACGGTTTTTCACGAGGGGTTTACTAGAAAAAACATGTTCTGTTTTAAGTCAAAAGGTTTTTCATGTACCAAGAAAAACCCTAAAGGTTTCTTATTTTTTGTTAAAAACCCCAAAGGATTTTTCCTAAACCTTTAGCATTTTTTTACTAAATCCTCAAAGGTATTTTATAATTATAAACCTTCGAAAGGTTTTGCAAACGACCTGCTTAAAAAATGGTTATAAACCCTAAGGGTTTATAATAATTAATACCTATAAAGTTTAGTAAAAATCTCTTACGGGTTTAGGATATAATCTTTTGAGTTTTGTTGCAGTCAAATGTTCTACATTCTTCCCGTTATGCAATGGATGTTGGATCGCACACCTATTTGGAAAACTGCAGAATGCGTTGTAAACTCAAATTAAGGAGTATGCTTAACGAGACACTTTTCGGAGATGCTTCGGAAAATGGAAATGAAATTAATTTTTTAAAAAGCGGAAAAAGATCCGTAATTACGAAAAAAAGAAGTGAACAAGCAGAAAGGGAGAGCAAGAAAACTTGATCAATTCCTTTCTGCACAAGCAGCTTTTCATGTGCTGGTTTCTCACTGTACCTATAACTGACTGAGTAGCGTGGTAGTTTCTGTGCGTCTGTTGAGATATTTTTATTGGCTGGCTCTTTTCGTATCTTTTCTATTTACATTGCGAAAAACAGAAGCAGCAGAGAAGGTGTCGATTATGATCTCTTTATTTGTAGGGTGATGCACGAGTAACAAAGTTCTCTAGGAAGTTGCTTACCTGAAAAACATTTCTCTGAAACTTATGTTAGTTGGTTTTCGCGCCTGTGAAATAACCTCCCGTAGGAAGAAGAGTTTTTTGACAGGAAAGGAAAAAATTTAGTTTTTGTGGTAACGAGATTCTTCATTTACTTTTTCTTCTGGGTTTTCCCTTCA